AGAGAGAGAGAGAGAGAGAGAGAGAGAGAGAGAGAGAGAGAGAGAGAGAGAGAGAGAGAGAGAGAGAGAGAGAGAGGAGCGATACAAGATTGTTGTGTGGACCAGGAGAGAAGGCGGCCATAGTCGCGGAGAGCGGACACAGGGTTATCACGAAGGAGAAAGAACGGTGAAGCGAAGGAGAAGGAGGAGAGACGAAGGAGAAGAAGACATAGCTAGGGAGAAGGAACGAGCGACACTGAAAGTGAAGGAAGCCATAGCTGGGGTGAAGCGAGAAAGAAGAGAGAGGAGGAAGGAAGAAGGAGGATGAGGAGGTTGGCGAGGAAGAAAAGGTGTCGGCAGCCATAGCCCAATCAAGGGTTGACCAAGGTGTTGACCGAAGGGTTGACCAAGGTGTTGACCGAAGGGTTGACCAAGGTGTTGACCGAAGGGTTGACCAAGGTGTTGACCNAGGTGTTGACCGAAGGGTTGACCAAGGTGTTGACCGAAGGGTTGACCAAGGTGTTGACCGAAGGGTTGACCAAGGTGTTGACCGAAGGGTTGACCGAAGGGTTGACCAACGTGGACCAAAATTTTGACCAGAGAGTTGACCGGTGAGCTGTCTAACGTTGACCAAGGAGTTGATCAGCGAGTTGACCAAGCGTTGACCAAGACTGTTGACCACGAAACTGACGAAGCTGGAGTTGGTATATTCTCGCCAAGCCTTCAGCCTATCCCCTCGCCCTATGGATGTGCACTCACCCCATGGTACTTGCTTAGTCTGTATGTCTCCTCTTTCTGCATTGAGTTTCTTCTGTCCAGGTGATAGGAACTCTGTGTATGTGGTCATAGAGCTTTGCTGACCAAACCCACACAGGCTGAGTAGGGCTAAAGGTTGTGTCTAACGACTCGACTGACCCGGAGGACACGAACCCTCCCAAGGACCGATACAGACCGACGGGCTGCTCGGTGTGGCTCAGTAGGCCCAAAATCCGAGTTGTGGGCTGCACAACAAGCTGCCTAAGTCTTGAGAGGACTTGCTGATCACGTATCTTGTTTGCGTCGTTAAAGAGTTCCTGAGAAGTTACGGGGGATCTCTTTAAATGCCTCCTGATCAGCAGTAAGTCCTGTAGTGACAACCTTAGTTTAGGTCTAGGCTAGAGACCATAGTTGACAAGATCTTGCTAAGATTTTGTGGTCCGTAGATTGAGTCCGTCCTAAGTTAAGTCAGTCAAGGGTGTGAGTCTAAGTGGTGAGGAGTGGAACTGAACCTTGGTTGTATGTCTTTCACCATGGTTGACGCGCGTAGTGGCAAGAGAACCACCCCTTACACCAAAGCTCAGGAAGAGCAAGCCGCCGCAGTCCTGAAAGAGAGAAGAGAGAAGGAGGCCAAGAAAAAGTTGACTAGACAGGCTAAGAAGTTGGCCCTACAGGAGGAGCAGGCGGTGAAAAGGAAGAAGTTGGAGGAAGAGATGGAGAGATTGAAGACGGAGGAGGAAGAAAGGATGAAAGTTGTGGACGAGGAAGAGATAGAAGAGGAGGAAAAGGAAGAGCCCTTGTTTAGAAGGAGCACAGGGCAGAGAGGGGAGTCCAGTGGCACCAAGAACGAGGATGCATGGATGGAGAAGAAGATCTCAGAGTGGGTAGCTAATTTATCTATGGGAGAAGAGGAAGAGGCCATGTTGTATGTTCCCCCAGAGGAGAAAGAAATCCGTAATCAGGGAGTGGGAAGCAGGAAAAGACCCTTTGAGACGTCAGACTATAGAGGAGGAGAAGAAGTTACAGTGGAAATTGCGTCTCACTAGGGAGAAGAAGAGGAGGATGGATGAGGCGAGCAGAATGGCAAGGGAGTTGGAGGTGATAAAGACGCAGAGGCGCAAGCAGATATACAAGGAAAATTAGATGTTATGTCAAGAAATATAGAACTCCTAGCCAGAGCCTGGGACAAGCAACATCAGTTTGCTCGATCCCAAGACATCACTTTACACTCCATCCGTCTGGGGTTCAGAGACTTTGCACGCGAGATGATGATGCACAAGGGTGCAGAAACGAAGGCAAGGATAAAAGGCATTGAGAAGTTTTGCACATGCGACATTGAAGATGCAAAGTTGGCCACTCCAAAGGAGGAGGAAGTACGTCCCCGTAGGGAGCCCGTTAAGATCAAGTTTCCTGAGCCCTACAGTGGGAAAAAGGAAGAAAATTTTGATAACTGGGAGGCGAACGTTAACACGTACGTCTATTTACAACATATCGTGCCTGAGGAACAAGTCCTCATCGCCTTCCAGGCCCTCAAGGACGAAGCAGCTAGCTTCGCTAGATCGCTCGCCTGCACTGCACAGTGCGAGAATAATATGGTCGCCTATTCTAAGATCACCCCTCTCCCTGAGTTCTTTCGACTCCTTAAGGAGCGATTTGCAGATGTCACGTGAGGCGTCAGGGCCTCTGACAAACCGCAAACTATCCACTCAAGCCAGTGGAGGATTGCCCGAGCAATCAAAGGTGTAATGGACGAGCTTGTAGCCGTCCCAGACCACGGGGTCACTGAGCCCCATTTAGTCAATCTCTTCTATCGTGCCATGCCAGAGCCCCTACGTGGGCACTTCTTTGAGAAGAGCCGACAACCCACCATGGCATATGATAAGCTGAGTAGAGAGGTGGGAGTCCATGTCAGTTTCCACTTTCTGGCACAAGGACTTAGACAAAGGTAAAAAGTGGGAAGGTCGTACCATCTCAGGACAGGTAAAGGGAAAGGATCATCTGATCCTGATGTTAGATGAAGGTGGTACATATGAGGTCCCGTATAGCCAGATTGAGTGGGGCATGGAGGAGGAGGACAGTAGTGTGGGTCAGTGGAGGACCTACGCTGCTGTCGCGGTTGGAGGGAGGCCGCAACGAAGAGGAGGAGGCCAGGATCAAGGGGGGCCGGGCCTCTGGTGGCCGAGGACAGGGCGCTCAGGGGGTTGGCGGCAGGGGAAACCGGCAAGAGGGAGGTAGGGGTCAAGGTCCCCCGCCAAATCGCTCACGATCTTATCGGTCACCTCCAAGAAGAGGTGGATGGCATCCAGGCTTGCCGCAAGGTAGGCCCTGGGAAGACTTGGGCTTAGAGCAATCTGTATGGCAAAGGCGAATTGATCAGGATCAGTGCATCTATTGCGGTGATCCTGGTCATATCATCAAGTTCTGCCCGAAGTATAGAGAAGCCCGATATGCAGCAAAAGGCAACCTCCGGTAGGGGTCGCAACTGCCCTTACCCTTAGGCCATGTGGAGAAGAGTGCGCACACCACAGAGTAACTCCAAAACCACATGAGCCTATGGCAGAGGCAGCAGGGGCCACACTTCATTTGAGAGAGCACGGGTGTAGGCTCCTTAGTCCCACATGTGAAGTTAAGACTGCTCGCCTGTTTCATGTGTCTGGAGTAGACGACACCCTGGCACATTGTTGCCTCAGTGCTCCCGCGTTCGTGCGTTTAGTGAAGAAGGAGCAATTAGAAGAACATGTAAATTTGTAGCCTACGTGAGGCCAGTCACTGAGCCTAAGGAGGAGACACGCATAGACCTTGCTATCGCCAAGCTGCTGGAAGAATATACAGATCTAATTAAGCCACCTACAGGAGTAGTGTCGCGGTCGATCCAACATCGCATAGAGATAGAGCCTGGCAGTAGGACTCCTAAGGGAGCGATTTACAGAATGTCCCCAAGGGAGTTAGAGGAGTTGCGTAAGCACTTAGACGAGCTCCTTGAGAAGGGTTGGATTAGGCCCGGTTCATCTCCATTTGGAACACCCGTTCTCTTTGTCCCCAAGAAGGAGGGAGAGCTCAGAATGTGTATAGACTATAGGGGTATCAATGCTATTACAGTTAAGAATGCAGAACCGATGCCCCGTATAGACGACTTGTTAGACCGGGTGCAAGGCTGCAAATACTTTTCGAAGATAGACTTGAAGTCCGACTATCATCAGATAGAGGTTCATCCTGATGATCAGTACAAGACAGCATTCCGAACTAGATATGGGCACTACGAGTTTATAGTTATGCCCTTTGGACTAACGAATGCGCCAACAACTTTTCAGTGCCATATCAATGATTTGTTTAGGCCGTGGTTAGATAGAGTTGTAGTAGTATACTTAGATGATATTCTAGTCTTTAGTAAGACCCTCGAGGAGCACGAGGGTCATCTGAGGCAGGTCTTGGAGAAACTTAGAGAAGCTAACTTCAAGATCAACGCAAAGAAGTGTGAATGGGCCAAAACACAAGTGTTGTACTTAGGCCACGTCTTAGACGGAGACAGCTTTGGACCTGAAGACAGCAACATCGCAGCGATTAGAGACTGGCCAACGCCCCGCACACTGACAGAGTTGCGGTCGTTCTTAGGCCTAGCTAATTCTTACATGAAGTTCGTCAGGAACTTTTCCACCATCGTTGCACCCCTTCGCAGGTTGCTAAAGAAAGAAGCAATCTGGAAGTAGGACAAGGACTGTACATCAGCCCTGAAAAAGTTAAAGTGGGCTTTGATAGAGTACCCAGTCCTTAAGGTAGCCGATCCGTCCCTGCCTTTCGTTGTTACCACTTACGCGAGTCAGTATGGCATAGGTGTTGTTTTACAGCAAAATGATGGCAATGGATATAGGCCCATAGAGTTCATGTCTGTCAGGATGCCTTCAGAAAAAGGTAGCAACATCCACCAATGAGAGAGAGCTCTACGCTCTCAGGCAAGCATTAGAGCACTGGAAGCATTACTTGCTTGAGAGGCACTTCAAAGTCTACTTAGACCACGAGACACTATGAAGACGCAGACCAAGATGACACCTAGCTTACTAGGTGGGCCGCTGAGTTAGATCAGTATGACTTTGAACTTAAGCCAGTCAAAGGGAAGTACAATGTAGTAGCGGACGCTCTGAGTAGGAAAGCTGATTACTTTGGGGCAATAGTTCACTATCTGGAGGGAGAGACCTGCAGCAGAAGGTTAGAGAAGCCTATGCACAGGACCTTATCTATAGTGACCTCCTCAAGAGAGTTAGGGAGGCCCCAAAGTCCGAACCAGACTACCGCACTATTGATGGATTATTATTTGAGGAGACTAAAGTAGTTGACCGTCTATGCGTTCCTAACAGTGAGGAGATCCGTAGTTTGATCGTAGGGGAATGCCACGATACAGCGGGATATTTTGGTTGGCAAAAGACACTAGCTAACCACATGCGCTCGTATATATGGCCCGATATGAAGGCCGACTGCATAGAGTATGTACGCAGTTGTAAAGTCTGTTAGAGAAACAAGACTACTACGTGATCCCCCCTTGGTCTTCTCAGACCCTTGCCTATTCATGACAGACCCGGAGATTCTGTGTCCATTGACTTTATGGATACTCAGGTCAAGAGTAGGCATGGCAAAAGTCAAGTCATGGTTGTAGTATATAGATTTAGCAAGTATGCAGTTTTCATCCCTTTGTCTTCTAAAGCACGCACCGATTTAGTAGTTCATAAGTTCTTTGACCATTGGGTCGGTGAGCATGGTATACCGCTGTCGATAGTAAGTGACAAAGATACCACGTTCACCAGTCAGAACTGGCAGGAACTAATGAGAGTTTATGGTTCCAAGTTGTTGATGTCATCTTGCCGTCATCCAGAGACTAACGGTCAGACTGAACAGATGAACAAGCTCTTGCAGCAAGTTCTTCGGATGTACATTAGGCCCGACCAGATCAACTTGGATGAAATGCTCCCAAAGGTAGCCAGTGCATACAATAACAACGTGCACTTATCGACATGTCGCACTCCCAACGAATTGCATAAGTTCTTTAAACCGCACAGACCATTTGAAGGACTTAACCGGGATCAGATTCAGAGACTACCGACCGGTACATGAGAGTTTGCGATACATCACGAGAAAGAGATAGCTACCGTTGTAGATAACCTCAGGAAAGCCCAACACAGAATGATCCAGCAAGCCAATAAGCATCGTCGCCCCTCACTGTTTCAAGTAGGTGACTTAGTCTGGGTCAAGTCAAAAGAGTTCGCTGCTGGGGAGAACATTCCACAAAAGTTACTATCTGTGCATAGAGGACCGTGGCCAGTCTTAGAAGTCAAGGGCGGAGAGGATGGACCGTCCTATACTATTGAGATTCCAGCACACCTCCACACCTACCCAGTCTTCCATGCGTCAAAACTGTTCCCTTGCATCACCAATCAACAGTTTCCATCACGCAGATCTATGATTCCTCCAAATATGGATGGAAGATATGATATTGATGGGATAGTAGGTGAGGATGTCTTCAGGACAGGAGGTAGAGGTCATCCACAGAAACATTACAAAGTCAGATTTGCCTTTCAAGAGCCAGAAGACGACCGTTGGTTCACGTGAACAGAACTTCTGGAGACAACTCCCGATATACTCCGAGCCTACGAAAGAGATAAGAAGGGTAAACGCCATGCCTTAGACTGAAGTATGCTCAGAAGACCTCGAATTTCCACCGGCGGGAGTGAAATGGTTTTTACCTTTTTGCAGTCATAGATGCGGGCCCTAGAGTTCGATCCCCAGACCTCACCTTACCCATATCGAGTCGACCCTCGAAGTTTTGAACCCGAGATATGTGTTTTGGTAGTTTTTGTTGTCTGTCGTAGGTCTGTGTAGTTGTAAGGGTTCGATCTCTAGGTCTGTCGAGTAGGGGTCACAACTCTATAGAGGTCGTAGTTGTAGAGGTCGTAGCTGTAGATGTCCTGAAAGGTCAAGGTCGTAGCTGCTACAGTACTCGAAAGGCGAAATCCACAGACTTCCGGAAGGTCCGGAAGTGGCCTTTCGAATAGTGTCTCACGTTTAGCCAGAGGCAAGTGGGCAAGTGGTAAGCCAACTGCACTAAGTCGGCAGTGCGACAACATCGATTCGGGTGCAACCTCGTGCAGTCAGCGGTACCTGTCCCAGTCAGTGGCAGTCCAGTCAGGCAAGTACCATGAGGGACTGTGTGCACCAAGGCTGGTGGAAAGGGAGCAGACCAACGAGTCACAAAAGTATAAATCAAGAGGCAGTGCCCAACCATTCATTCATTCGCTGCGTAAGCCATGCGGAAGCGCTGCTACAGCGTCTTG